GGTGCGGGCAACACCAAGCCAAGGGTTGCAATCCCCTTACCGGTCACAAAAAAAAAAAAAATACCAAAATAGCTTGAATTTATACTCCTATTAACAATACATTGGAGTTCTTATTTTCCCATACCTTCAACAGGAATTATACATGATGAAATTTTTCTTAATGCTTTTCCTAGCTGATAGGAGAAAACTGATATCTTATTGTTGTGATAAATGATATAGATAGAGATGAGTGAGTTCAAGCATCATATTAGAACACAGAGATAAGCATCACTTGCTTTCAAAGGTTAAGTAAGCTGTTCCACTCTGCTCCTAGAATACTAAGCAATATTAATGATAGACATGTTTCCTCAGTGGATCTGCACTTGCCTTGTATCCCACTGTAACTGGTAGCAGCAAAATCTCTGTACTTTAGCAGTTCCTCAGTGTGGTCATGGATTATATAGAGTAATGCCTCTTGACCTCTCCTATTGGGGAGGTCTCTGCAGCATACCAAAAGTAATTGCCACAGTTGACTTCAGTCCAGATCAGTGTGAAGCAAATATCCAGCTTACCTACCTCTGTCAGCCTTGTGCTGATACCAAACGAGAACTCTTTTAAGACACTTTAAGGCATTTTTAGGGCAATTTTTAGCCTAAATGGTAAATAAACAAGGCTCTGCCAAAAGGTGTATTGACCAACTCAAATGGGTCGTTTGCTAAAATTACATATATTTTTGTTTCTAAAAAGTCAAAACGTAAACAGCCTTTAAAAAATGTCTGTCAAGCTTTGCTCTCCATATCAAATCATTCTATAAACTTATGAAAATAGTCACATCCTCTGCCTTTATTTTTATTTTAGTCTAACCATTATATATAAAAAGGACCTAAATGAGTTTAGGTTTAAGGAATTTTATAAATTGATCAAATTGCAATAATAGTACAAAGTAGGGTTGGAGGGGCATGAATTTGTATATTGATAACTCTTTGTTCTAACCTCAGCCATTAATTAAGCTAAAACATTCTTTAACAGAACTGGAAAAAAGTCTGTGTGAAATCAAGGCACAGCAGTGGTTGACATTATATTAAATATTAGCATATTGAAATAGCAATGCAATCTTATACTTTTAAAGTTCACTTTCATATTTGATTATCTGGTTTGAATTTTTTTTTTCACAATTCTTCACAAAAATAGGAATGCCAGGATTTTATGTTTCTTCATCCTACCCCAGGCAAATGTTTTATTTGCCATAGTGATTTTTTTT